TAATTTTATGTACTACAGAATACTTATCGGTTCAAGGGAAAGAATAGTGTACGGGTATATTATCCAGAAAATTACGTTTTTGCTCACTTTTGGAAGAGTAGCCGACCTTTTAATCCGTTAAAAATTTACTGTGGCGCATAAAAATTTTCTTGATTTTTTCTTAGTTGATCAAGAGTATAATTCCACGACTTCGGTGTTTAAGTATCACCAAGTCTGTGAACGGTTTGACACGCAGCAATGTTTTCATGATAATGATTATTTTTGTGTTTGTCATTATCGCGCCGAATGCTTTCGCTATAATCGTAGTATTGATCAGTGCAACCACTGTCTAGCCAATGGTCGTTGTTTACAAGGTGATTTGAACAGTAAAATAGATTTTCTGTGTCTCTGTCCGAAATGGTAAGTGTTAGACGTCTCTCGACTTGTTTGAAATTTACCATGTTATCTTTATTATTAGTTATTTTGGATCAATATGCCAACAAAATACAGAATTTTTAAGCTATTCACTTGATTCATTGATCATAAAAGATTTGGTATCATCACAAACAATATCGGTGATTTTTTATCTACTTGTAATATGTTTATTAAATGTATTTGGGCTGTTTAACAATGTATGTAGTTTTTTGACATTTATACGTGTAAAACCGAGACTTGTCGGATGTGGTAATTATCTTTTAATTATATCAGTTATAAGTCAATTGTCATTATTTTTCTTATTTATGAAAGTTTTGCATATAATATTATTAAACATGAATATACAGACATTTGCTGTTGGATTTTGTCGATCTATTTCGTATTGCTTATCGTGTTTTACTCGTACATGTTATTGGCTTATGTCATTTGTTTCTCTTGAACGTCTCTATGCAGCATCTTATCCAACAAAAACATTTCTAAAACAACCAATGGTTGCTATCATACTATCTATTTTAACCATGTGCGTTATATTTGGAATGCATTTATACGAAATATTCTATTATACAGTCCAATTTGAATCTAAAACAAATTCAACAATTTGTGTTATTGATTATAGTAAACAACATGGTTTCTGGACGGTATTTAATCGTGTTAATGTGTTAATCAATTATATTGTACCATTTCTTCTACAATTTGTTTCCATTTTATTATTACTTATTGCATTAGCACGTAAGAAAAAACGTGTACAAAATACAGACGATGCACTTATAAAACAATTTAAGACAAATAAAGAATTATTTATAACACCTACTATTTTAATTTTAAGTGCATTGCCACCGGTTATATTGTCATTTAATTTTCAATGTAAAGAATTAAATCAATCGTGGCAACGATATATGTTGTTAATCGCATATTTTCTGTCGTATTCGCCTCAAATACTCGGTTTTATATTGCATGTATTACCATCAACATTATATAAAAAAGAATTTAGTTACACCGCAAATACTATATCACGTCGGATCAATGTACAATAATAGACAGTGCACAGAAGAGTTACTCTATCGAGGACAAACTTGCGTCCGATACCTGCTTATAGTACGGATATTGCTTTTTTGCATAAAATAAATATTATTAGTATCTACACTTATGAAAATATTGGCTACTATTACTATATGTTCTATATTGATTTATCCAAATCTAAACACCGGGAAGCCGTTCGAAAAAGAGGAAGACAAAATTTGTTTCGTTGTGCTTACTCTCTTTATTCCTTTCCTTTCTCTCTTCTTCTTCTTTTGACGTGTGCCGAAGTAAACGTGTTTTTATATCTTAGTCAGCTACGTCTCGATGAAAGTGCGTAAGATAGTTTTAGTTGATAAAGGAACGTCAACTTTGTCGTTGGAGACACCGAGTATTTTCTATTACCTTTGAAATTCCTGTTATCTGTTCAATAAAATAATGACCGTGGTCAGTTTTTAAATAACTCGAGAATAAAAAGAGATAAAAAGTTGCGATTTTTGACCATTCGAAGAGGAGATCTGAATGCATGTTTTCATAATCAAAATTTTTTCAGAAGAGTTTTCTGAAACAGATTTTCTAAGAGATCGTTGGGAAACTGGGCCGTGTATAAACGTTGTCTAGTAGGACTGTATTGATTTTTTTTCATAGACTGACAGTACAAGGGGTTCTCTTCAAAATGGCAGTCAAACAAGACCTTGATTTTCCGCTGTTCGGGGTTGTATCGCATTTCCTACGAGTTCCAAGACTGGCTCCCGATGACTTTTAGTAACCTTGAAGATGGATGGACTACGGGTAATCGATGATACTGAGTCTCGCGGCAATATTTATTTTGAGAAAAAGTTTTAAAAATCTACTGAAAAGCGAGTTTTACAAAAATTAGGGTTTTTAGACAGTTATCACCTAATAAATTCGCTATTCAGTCAAAAAACATCGGAACGACCTCAAAACTTCAGAAGGTAGAGTATTTAAGCTATTCTATATTCTACGTATAAGAGATCTTGAAAGACACTTCACAAAATCATAGGGTTTTCCAAAAGGGTGTCTGGAAAACGTATTAATAAAATATGCTTTTCCATTTCTTCTGTCTTATAATCACGTTTAGCGGACAATATTAATTGTATCTTGAAGTTTTGAAGTCGTTCCGATGTTTTTTGAGTGAAAAGTGAATTTTCTAAAATTAGGTGATAACTGCCTGGAAACTCTAATTTTTGTAACTCGCTTTTCGGTAGATTTTTAAAACTTTTTCTCAAAATAAATATTGCGACGAGACCAGCTAGATCAAACTAGATTTGTTCTTGTAATTTCCTTTTGACTGCTTATATATGGTATTGCAATTCCAAGCGATCTTGAAATTTCTCAGGCTTCTGTTGGTTTATTAATACGGACGCTTGCTCATAGTTGAAAAGTGATAATTTATAGTTTTCTATGCATTCATAAACGAGTCCAAGACAACGATAAACACGGACTAAATGTAAATGATTTGTTGGTAAGGTTTTCGCCGCAACTGTGAGTGCGCGTTTATAGTTCGATAAAGCCATTGTATATTCTCCTTTATCATGATAGACAAGCCCGAGATTGAAATATATCCAGGATGTATCAGGATGATAATGGGGCAATATCTGCATCATAATTTGTAATGCTTTTTCAAGATAATTCAGGGCTGTGTCACACTGTTTTTTCATTCTATAGATTTGTCCTATACGACCATAGCTCCAAGCAAACATCAAGTGATTATAGTCAGGGAATGACTTAGACCATAGCTTAAGCGCTTTTATATAGTACTCAATTGCAACCTCATAATGGTGCATTTTACCGTGAATTGCACCAAGACTGTGATAGTTGTTACCTATTCCAACGTGGTTGGATAAGTCAGCCAGACGAATTGCTAGTGCTTGATTGTGGTATTCTAGAGCCAAGAGGTAGTTGTCTTCGCTAAATGCAATCACACCTAGACCTGTGTAACAGTTTGCTAGAAGACTAATATTATGTGATGACGATACAGTATCCAATAACCGTTGATAAAACGCTTCAGACGTATCATAATCACCCATTTTCCTTAACAATCGTGCTATTGCACTCAATGACTCTTTTTCGCCACCAATATCATTTTCCATGTAATCCAGAACTTGTTTGTACTTATAATCGTCGTCCCGACACAGCATTAAATCGACTTTTCCCTGATCATGGTCAATATAAACGTTTTGAACTCGAAATATCGTACCAATCGTGAATAGAACTTCTCCTTCGCCTGGAAAGTGACTTGAATTTGTTATGTTAGCAAACTTTGTTGATGAATGATCAATATGAATAACAAATAGACAACTGAGAAAGTCATCTATTTCTTCATCTGGCAGTCCACCAGCGATAAAGCCGAATGCTTGTATTTCGCTCAAGCTTGTTGATAAGAAACTGTTTATGGATATATAATCGCCAATAGACGATTTTAAACGATTAAATTCATTTCGCGATAATATTTGACCACGATATACGATATTACTGGTCAGCTTAAGTAACGATGATATTTGTAGCAATTGTGTGTGAATATCACTGATCAGTAAACGACAAGCATATAGGATATCCAAGCTTTTTGTACGTAGTGCTTTATTCAGAATTCGATAGAAGCAACTTTCACGTGTATACCAACGTATGGCGTCTCTTGAACTTTACGTTTGAATAAATTCTTGAATCAACTCTAATCCGACTCGATTACCAGAATAATATTTTTGACAAATGTAGATCAGATCATTTTTAGCTGTTATCAACGTATTTTCTTGTGAGATACGCAATATTATGCTAATAAATAACTGAAATTTAATAAAATTACCATTTTCAGTTTCCAGACTGGTATGAGTCTTTTCCATGTCACTGGAGTAATCGAAAAAGTTTACTGACATCGCAGTACATTTGTCACGTTTCTGCCGCTCAACTTGTTCGGCCGACATCACGTCTAATAAGATCTGGCGTTGGAAAAAGCAGCCTCGAACCTAATCAAATAAAAAACAATACTGGAGCCAAATGACAAATTCTTAGTGTCGTTTACATTAGAAAATGTGATGCCTGCTCCGCGCTGAACCAAATTGGATAAAAATTGGGCACCAGGTGCAAAATTTGTCGGTGGATCCGACAGCGGGTTCCTTATAATTACATCTTCACTTCTTTTTTGGCGTCGACATAAT